TATACATTTTCATTAAGAAATCATTACAAGTTCCATACATACATTGTGAATATTTATAATCATTGCTTGAGAATTGTTTCTATCTTGAAGAAGAAGATCAATTGAAGATTGATAGTGCTCTCCATATATTTCAAATTAATCATTGTATTACTTAAAGAAATTATTCCCTTACTATCCAGGATTGTTGGAAGTAAGTGTTGTGATTTGAAGAGGATTGTTCTTCATTCACATTAGTGTTTGTTTGATCTTAAAGGTGTTAAGAACCTTTGGTCACCCTATAGGTTAGATAGTAAGCATAGGCTGTACAATCATTCTAACTATAGTGAAATCTCTTTCGTGTTGGAAAGGGGACTGGAGTACTCTCGGATTGTGAGGGGAACCAGGATATATCACCGTGTTATTTACTTTTCCGCTTTTATCGCTTTCATCACCATAATCAAGAAAAGATAAGATATAATCAAAAACCTTCAAACACTTAACCAAAAATTACACCAAGTATTCTCAGAAAACCGAATAATTTTTTATATACCTAATTCACCCCCCCCCCCCTCTTAGGCACTCTTAGACTTACAAAGGTGAATGTAGAAATAGCTGAAGCATAGTGTCTTAGTGCAGAAGGCGCTGAAGGTGACAGTAAGCTGTGGCACAATAGGTTAGGGCACTTGAACTATAGAAGATTAGGGCATCTAAGTTCTAAGAAGCTTGTACATGGAATTTCAAAGATTGTGAATCCTAAGAAGTCATGTGAGATATGCATGAAGAGCAAGCAACCCAGATTTCCATTTGCATCAGAAGTAGTCCCCAGAGCGAAGCATGCTTTGGGAGTAGTACATTCTGATGTGTGTGGACCATTTCCAGTATCTTCACTTGGAGGAAATAAATATTTTGTGTCTTTTATAGACGAGTTCACAAGAATGACATGGGTAACACTCATCAAGTTCAAACATGAAGTGTTTACTGAGTTCCAGAAGTTCAAGGTGAAGGATGAGAAGCAGAGTGTTCAGAAGCTGAAGATTCTAAGAACGGATGGTGGAGGTGAGTATAACTCTACAGAGTTCCAGAAGTTCTGTGAGGGGAATGGAAGAGAACATGAGGTTACTGCTCCATATACTCCTCAACATAATGGTCTTGCTGAAAGAAGAAATAGAACTTTACTTGATATGACCAAAAGTATGCTGAAAGAGAAGAAGCTACCTCACATGTTATAGGGAGAAGTTGTTGCCACATCAACATATGTTATGAATAGGTGTCCAACGAAGAAGCTGAAGGAAATTGTTCCTTTAGAAAAGTGGACTGGAGATAAGCAAAGTGTTAGCCATCTGAGGGTGTTTGGTTCTGTATGCTACAAACACGTTCCAGAATCTAAAAGACGGAAACTGGATGATAGAAACAAAGTAATGTTACTAGTGGGGTATCACAGTACATGTGCCTATAAGCTTTATTATCCAGAAACTAACAAAGTTGAAATCAGCAAAGACGTTATTGTGAAAGAGTCAGAAACATGGGATTGGAACAAGCTTCAATCAGATTCTGGTGTAGCGCCAACACCAAAGTTAGTTTCTGAAGATTCTTCAGAAAGTTCTGAAGACGAGTCATAGTCAGAAGATGAATCTGAAGACCCTAAAGATGAGTCAGAATCTCAGGGTGATTCTGATAGTGGATCTGATTCTGATCCAGATTTTGATGATGATCCAGAATCTGGTGGGGATTATATTTTTGGAAGGGAAAACTCTGAAGACATAGGGTCTGGAGGACAAGCTTCCAGAAGTAACTCTGAAGGTGGTAATTCTGAAGGAAGTAGTTCTGGATAAGGTGCAGAATCTATAACTGTTCCGAGTTTTGGAGAAGCTTCAGAACAAGTTTAGAGACCACATAGAATCAGACAAATACCAAGTAGGTTTGTAGATTTTAGCATGTTGCATGATACTGAAGTAGATTCTGAAGGAGAAGTCATTCAGTGTGCCATGTTAGTAGATTCTGAACCAGTAGGTATTGAAGAAGCTATCAATAAGAAAGTATGGTTGAATGCCATGAAGGAAGAACTTGAGGCTATTGAAACAAACAAAACTTGGAAGTTGACGAAGCTTCCAGAAAAGAAGAAAGCCATCAACGTCAGATGGATTTTCAAGGTGAAGCTTAAGCCAGATGGATCAATTGGCAAACACAAAACGAGACTAGTGGCTAGAGGTTTTCTCCAGAAACTTGGGCTAGATTACTTTGAGGTGTTTGCGCCTGTAGCTAGACATGAAACAATCAAACTGGTGATTGCCTTAGCTGCAAACATAAATTGGCCTTTGATACATCTAGATGTGAAGTCTGCATTTCTGAAAGGTTCGTTACAAGAAGAAGTATATGTGTCACAACCTCATGGATTTATGAAAAAGAATCAGGAAGGGATGGTATACAAGTTACATAAAGCCTTGTATAGGCTGAAACAAGCGCCCAGAGCTTGGAATCTGAAAATTGATTCATTTTTCAAGAGGCAGAAGTTTCAGAAATGTGAGATGGAATATGACATATATGTGCAACATTCTAGTGGAAATATGATTCTGGTGTGTCTATATGTTGATGACATATTGCTAACAGGAAGTTGTCTAGAAGATATAATCAAGTTCAAAGAAGTTCTGATGAATAAATTTGAGATGACAGATCTGGGAAATATGATATATTTTCTAGGAATGGAGATTTTGTACTCAAAGAAGGGTATCATTCTACATCAGCTGAAGTATGAACCTGAACTTCTGAAGAGATTTAAGCTGCAAAATTGTAAAGTTGTTGTGACACCATCAGAAACCAATTATAAATTGTATTCTGATGGTGATTCTATGGATGCTACGACCTTCAAGCAGTTGGTTGGTTCTCTTAGGTACTTGTGCAATACCAGACCTGATATTTGCTATGCAGTTGAAATGGTTAGCAGATTCATGAGTAAACCAAAGTGGTCTCATTACCAAGCTGTTGTCAGGATTCTGAGGTATATCAAGGGAACTCTGAAATATGGAGTGCTATTTCCTTCTAGAAGAAAGACATAACCAGAATTAGTGAGTTATTTTGATTCTAACTGGTGTGGAGACAGAGTTGACAGAAGAAGTACTTCTGGTTACTTGTTCAAGTTTCTGGGAGGCCAATTTCTTAGAGTTCCAAGAAACAACTTGTTGTGGCTTTGTCAACGTGTGAAGCTGAATACATTGTAGGTGTTGTAGCTGCATGTCAAGCTGTTTGGCTTCTGAATCTTCTAGAGGATTTGAAGATTGAAATTGAGAAATCTCTGAAGCTGTTGATTGATAACAAGTCTGCAATCAATCTTGCCAAGAATCCAATGTTGCATGGAAGAAACAAGCATATTGAGACGAAGTATCATTTTCTAAGAAGTCAAGTGCAGAAAGGAGTGTTAGAAGTTCTGCACTGTAGCACTCAGAAGTAGCTGACAGATGTTCTGACGAAGACAATAAAAACAGACCAATTTCTTCATTTGAGAAATGAAATTGGTGTTGTTAATTTCTGATAAATACTAAATTATGGAATGATATTAAAGGGGTATTTAGTATTTGCTGTATTTGGAATATTCTCTTTCTTAGGGTCTATGTGGCATTTTTATCTTTACTATTTTTATGTATAAATAGATGTACTAGGTTTCATTAATTAATACAATCCCCTTTCAATCATTAATGACAGCTTTATATCATTCATCATTTTCTCTCTTCTTCCTCAATTTCATCACCTTGCACCAATACAAACTAAACTATTTTTTAAAACGGCCAATTTTATTTGGGATGCCTATTCATCCCCTCTATACAATTGTATTCTTGTATTCTCGTCCAACATTACTATCATAAACTTTTCACATAACAAACTTGAATCTGCATAAACAACCATTGACCAACCTCACTCTTCTTTACTTGCAGAAGAATAAACCTTCCAAAATCATAATGAACACAACCAAAACACTTCCAATCCTGCTATTGAACTTAGGAGAGCCTCCAATGTTGGATTGATTTAATGAATTCATAATTACATGCATTAAAACAAAATAAGAGTTAGGCAATTGTTGATCTTCCTGCACATGTGAAGCATATTAGAAATAAATGGATGTATAAGATCAAACATAAAGATGATGGATCAACTGAGAGGTGCAAAGCCAAGTTAGTAACAAAGGGGTACAATCAAATCGAAGGGCTATACTTCTTTGATACTTTCTTCATGAAGATACACCTGCTTATGAGGATAATGTTGGATATAGAAGTTTGGTAGACAAAATCCTGTATCAGACAACCACAAGAAATGATATGGCCTTTACCATACAGCAACTGAGAGCCATTTTCTTTCCTCTCCAACCATTGTTTTACTGATACAAGAGAAGAAGCTAACACCAAATGCCTTGCAGATCAAGTTACCAAAGCACAAGAGGGTTGATTGGAGTTAGTTAGATGAAATCATTTAGAATTTGTTAGAGTTTGCTGATTATATATATTGTATACAATGATGGAAACATGAAAGGCAACTCATGGTGGTAATGGTTTGAATTGGTGCATATTTTTAATAGGAATGTCTCATAGTCATACCGAAGTTATTGGTTTGATTATATGAAGGACCACATTTAAACATAATTGATTATCATAAGTAATTTAATTTGATACTTTCAATAGTCGAGATTCGAACATTGATTGGTCACGTTGTGGACATCATGTTATATTGATGTATATGAAGAATCCATGGAAGTAGTAAGAGAAATTACCCTAATGTCTCAATTCTTATGTTGCCAATTGACCAATCTTTCCTCTCTCTTTAATTTTTCAGAGTTTGAATTTCATTTACATTTCTTTGTATATTGTCTATAACATTTATGCAGCTTACTAACCAAAGGCATAGGTAACACCAAAACTGCCACACATCAAATGCCAATCTAATAAGAAAAACTGAATTTACATTTATCTTGTACCACTTCTTGCTCTATCATTTTTCAAGAGCAGAAAAAGTTGCTAATTTTAATTTTGCAAAAGTTAAGCAGGGCTCCCAAAAAGATTACTTTGTCGACTCATTCTTCTCGGTAATCCAAAATTCTGATAACACCTGATTTCGCCTCCGAATCCAGCCGTCACTATTACCAAACCCCATGCTGAAGGATGAATTGCGGAGGAACCTTCGTATGAAGAATAATTAGAAGACCAAGATGCACCTGATGGAGTAGCTGCAGCGTCGATCGAAGGCGAATCGCCGTATCTAATCGAAGCAGGATCTGAAGAAAACGAATCTCCAAATCCTGAATTCGTCCTCGAAATAGTCCTTGAAATCGCGTCATTGTCTTCTTCTATTTCACTTTCTTTGTCATTGTTGTTGTTTTTCTTTGGAAGAGGTGGTAACATTCTCTTACTATTACTTGCAAACGAATCGCCAATTCCTGATTCGGTTCGCGAAATCGATGAAGGATCATGCTCTGGCGAATCTGACGCGCTTTCTGTCGCGTGGTTGCTATTGCCTTTCTTTGGAAGAGGTGGAAGCATTCTTTTTGAGGCCTTTTTGGATTGGTGAACTGGAATTTCCGGTGGATCGCCTTTGATCATACACGGCCAAGGTATCGCTACCGAAACATCTTTACATGGAAAATGTTCATGAGATTGAGTAACAAGCAGAGCTCTAGATTTTCTATGCTCTTCATGCTTCCATACATAAACTTGTGAATCTTCACTTGCACTTATTATGAATCTTCCATTTGGACTAAATGATGCTGCCATTTGGCTATTTGCATTTTTAAATCCTGCTTTGCAAGGCAACACGTTATTAAGTCATTTTCAAGAGAAATGATAGACTACCAACCCTACTTCAAAAAAATAAGATACCATACCGCAAAAAGATTACTACAATATTCGGTAACAAAATTTGTCAATTTTACCTACGTCTTTGACAGGAAAATGACTGAGTTCAGTTCAATAATTACGAAGCATACTGAACAAGATCTTAAACGTTATGATATGATTTATCAACTTTTTTAGAAGAATATTATATTAAAACCGAGAATATAAGCGGTTCTCGAACAGAATTTACCTTTAAATTTATGAATAATTTCTGTACCATCCACGATTCTTATCCTGGAATCAGCCGAAGTAACCAGCACTTCTGATGGATTACACGGCGCATACTAAGAAGATGCAAAACAAGTCAATATGCATTCTTGACATAAAAGCGATATTGGGTTGAAAATTTGTTTAAACTATAATTTACCTGAAAACCAGTAACTTTTTTTAGCTGAGATTTCTTCTTGTTTCGAAGTTCAATTGTGTTTGTTTGAGCTAATTTGTAATCTGGTATATATATAAAAATGACAGTTAAAAACATAGAATTAGCATCAGATAAAATATAAATATGAGTAGTAGACAAGTAGAGTAACCACCACCTTCTATGCTATAAGTACGACAGCTCCCCTTTTGTGTACCGACGATAACACCCTTAAAACAATAAACAAAAACAATATAAATCATTAATCACATGTGTCAGTATCGTGTCGTGTCAGAGATGAGACACACCTTCAATCAGGTGTCACGAAGTACGCAACATAGAAAAGTATAGGAAAGGAAAAAAAAGAAAACATACTTGACCATCTGGAGTGTACGAAACAGCTGTAACCATTTCATGAATATCGGTCCAATCCACAACCAGACGCGCGGGGATGTTCCACATTCTGACCTTAGCATCAAGGGAGCCACTAATGAAATAATCATCATCCATAGGATTGAATTGAACACAGGTTACTGCCATATCCAATTGAGTAAATTTCATGTCAAACAAAATATATCTAAAAAGATCCACACAGAAAAGACTTTATTATAAAATCGAAAATGTTCAAACATTTTACCATAATCATTATGTGCAAAGAATTTCAAACATGTCTTAGTTTCCAAGTCCCACAATCTCACTGTCTTATCCATTGAAGATGACAGAAGTAGCTGCATTCGAAAGAATTACACATTTTCAATATTTTATGGTGTCGCCACCAAAGTTTTAAAATGCAATTCTCATTGAAATATCTAAAACCATACCTGAGATCTAGACCAAGACAAATCCAAAACTTCATCCAAATGACCATGAAAAGAACAATAAGGTTTCTCAGAAAACGTAAAAACATTCTCCGGCACATGAACATATTCAGGAATAGCACTCCCTCTTTTACTTCCAAATTTGCCTTTCTTCTTAGCTAAAGGAGTCTCAACACCTCGTTCCATTGAAGACATCAAAGAAGGATGAATAGGAGTAAGGTTCCCTTCCTCAGGTTTCATACTCATAACCTCGCATTCTTGAACTTCCCAAATATGAATCACTTTATCATCACCCGCACTCGCCAAATAACGTCCGTCCAAACTAAACTTAATCGTCCAAACACACCCTTCATGAGCTTGAAACTCTTGACACAAATGCAAAGCTGAAAGCTCCTTTTGTGATTTCCCACTTTGTCTAACTTTAACCCATTTGTTCTTCCCTTGAGGCTTATTTTGTTCAACAACTTGTGGCACAATAGCTTCTCTTTCGCGTTCGCCAACAAATCCACTTGCTACGCCTTTGATATTCTTCAACAACGAAGCACCTCTTCTTTTACTCAACCTCAAACTCCTTAAAATATGCGAATTCGAAGATAGCTTTTTACCATCATTTCTTCCAACATTACGGCGTCTCATCATTGCCTTAACAATTTCCGAATGTCCCACCGTGCTTTCGAATTCCTCCATTGTTAATTGTTTACCTGTTTCTAAATCGCTCAACCGGTTCCACGTCCCGTTTTCGCCGTATTCGTTTACTATAAACTCTTTTCCAGTATCCAAATTCTTTATCAAAAAGAAAGCTCCAACTCCTCCTCCACCCGAACCGCTACTCACAATCGGCGACATCGGTGGTAACTGTCTCAAGGGCGAATCCCTCACAATGATTCTATTTACATCAGCATGCCGAGCACGCGTGCTCGGCATGCCAATATCTGTATTCGTTCTCGTCAACCGTTGCTTCGAAATCTTCCCTATCATTTCCTGTTTCCTTAATTTCGCCATTGATAACGAATCAATGTCACCTTCTGATCGCGATCGAACGAGAACATACGATACAGGAGAAGAAGGATGATCCGTTTTCTGTTGCAACGAGTTAGGAGAAGATGAAGCTTCGGTGGTTTTGGAAACTTTAGATGAAGAAGACGAATCTGCAACGGAGTTCGACGAATTCGACAAAGCATGAACTTCAACATTGTTGTTTTCGTATTTTTTCGTTACCGCACGACCTACATTGATGCTAGTAACTTTGAGATTCTCTTTATTCTCATCCAATCCCATGCTTCCGAGCAATCTTCTTCTTCTTTCCGTTATAGATCCCGGTGCAGCCATCCAGATATCGTAATTCGGAGTAATGGTTGACGCCGGAGGAAGTTCCGGCTGCTTCCGTTGTTTCGCAGGATGAAAAGAGGAAACCGCGGAGGCGAAAGAGCACCGGCTCGCTTCGAATTCATCCTCATCTTCGTCGGAGGAAGAAGCTAAATCGTCAGGAACCGCGGTGGAGAGACGGTTATAGGTCTCGAAGAAATGAAGATCGTCCTCATCGTCGCCGAGGCCGTCCCAATTCATGGTCAGCGTTTTCCGGCGTTCCATGGTGGCCATCGGCGGCAGGAGGTTGGAAAACTGAATGAAGAATCAAAATGAAAATGCTGTAACAAATAAGAATGAATTTTATTATATTTTTTGTCACTAATAGTACTAATTAGTGATAATAGTAAGTTATGTTTATTGTAGTTACATTATTTTTTAATTTTTTAATTTTTTTAGTTTGTGATTGTTTGTTAATGTTTTGAGGGTGACAAGAGGAAGAGAGGAAATTGAGGGAAGAAGGAGAGGTGGGTTAGTGTTATGGACTTTTGGAGGGAGAGAAACGGTCAACTTGTTTCTATTTAGGTATTGATTTTAATTCTAAAGTAGGGGTATTTGTGTAATAGCCAAACTTCCAACCCTCCTCCATCCAAATCTACAGAAAGTGCTTTATTGTGTAGAGAAAGTGCTTGTGCTCTTCGCAATCTGGTTTTTCTTATTGTTTCCACTTTCCGTGATGTTTGGATTGTGAAGGTGCTTTAGTTGATAAGTGGTTGACACGTTTGAGAATTTTATATACTATATTTTTTGGAAAATGAATGGTCAACTTTTGTGTTTATTAGCTCATTTCTTAAAGTTTAATGGTTATGTACTAATGTAAGTTCTATACTTTCATCTCATTGAAATTTATCATCAAATTATATTATATAATTAAATTAAAATTTATAATCAAATATAGTAGAATATACGATGGTGATTGATTGATCGTATAAAATTATTTTATATTTATTTTATATTGTATATCACATTTTCTCTTTCTTAAACTAATAAGAGAATTGTGCTTTTGTTTTTTGTTTTGTTTTTCTAATAGTTGAAATTTGACTCTAAAGATAAATTAATGAAATATCAGTATTTTCGAATTCACATATCCTTAATTGAATTTTGTATACAATTATCAATTGATGTGGTTTAATTGTATTTTATAATTTTAATATAAAAATTATATTTATGAGTTAAATATTATTCTCTCCGTCCTAAATTACAAGAGAAGTTTACTTTTTTTAGATTCATTGAATAATTAATGTATCTGATCTATATATAGACTAAATACATTAATTATTCAATGAATTTAAAAAATGAATTTTTCTTATAATAAAAGATAGATGGAATAACTTAAATTCAAACTAGTTTTCTCTAGAAATAACATTTAAACAATTTTATCAGTTCTCCTTTAATTAACTTTTGTCGAAAAATTAATTAAATTAATTAAAGATTAAGTGCTTGTTTGTTTAAGTTAATTTAAATGACTTTTAAAATATTATATATTTATATTTATAAAAGCATTTGTAATGCTATATTTGTGAGAGTCTCAAACAAGAGTGGTTTTGACTTTTCTGCCTAAGAACGATGTTGCTTAGGTGACATCCACACAGAACAAGTGGTTTCGCCCTTGGAATTAATGACATGTAAAATAACATTATCTCCCGTTAGTCAGACGAGAGAAAATCCACCACAATTCTCTGAAAAATAGGTGGTCAACAATCTCTCCAAGTCATGAGAGAGTGATTGGCGTCCCTAAGAGTTTCCTAAATTCTAGATCCAAAAGCCTCTATAAATATTTATTCCCCAATGGGAAAAAAGGAAAAATCATAATTCATATGTTTATACCTAAACATCCAACACATATACAAAGCCTCCCACCTCACATAAGCAGGTCCTCTAAACCACCATAAACACCAGTGTATAGAGTTTTTCGTCACCGTGGGCAAGTCCTAACTACCACAATTTGTTATACACATACTAAGACCTATGAGTACCCCTGCCTTTACAGGGGTAACATGCACACATGTACTTTTTGACCAATACATTGGCACTCACCACGGGACCCCGGTAAAACTAACTTGAGCCACATCTTCTTCATCACCGTTACCCTACTCATTATTATCCTCCACCCCTACACCTAGCCACTCTCGCCCATGGTTAATAAGAGAGCTTTGTCCCTTGCACCAGAAGGTAATAGCTATAACGATTATGACAAATTACACCGTCATAACCAGACACTATACAACGATGTCCACAAGATTAGACAACGCCAGCAGAAGTCCAGTCCCTCAAAGGAGTTGGAAGTGTTGGATCCCTAATCACTCTCATACTAGATATGAGGAGCGCTTGTCCCCGGGGGATTCAAAATTTCCTCTTTGGCCAAGTTTGATGGGCGAAGTGACCCGAGCACGTCGCCTCCATCAACACACAAATAGTCATCATAGAAGCGCCTGACTCCCTAGAGTGAAAGTTGTTGTTTGGCACTTTCAAGGAAGCCACCCTACGATGGTGTGTGGCTCTACCCGGTTCCTCCATCATCAGTTATCAAGAGATGTGTCATACCCAAAATTTGCCCTACCCTTATATTATATTTGTTTTTTTTTTAATTCAATAAATCACATTATCTAGTTTTTATTTCTATAGGGGTGTAAAACATGGAAGGGGGTGTATTTGTTTTAAAGGGGATGTGAATAAATCACTTTTTAATAAGGCCCATTAGGTTGTTTTTAAAGCCTACTTCAAGTTTAAAAGAGGATTTGTATTTGTTTGGGTCAAAGGCCCATTAAAATTTCATTCTTTTTGGGGTGTACAAAACAATTCTTTTTTGAGGCCCAAGAGCGAGGCCCGTCCAGTTTTCTCATTTGTTTTAAAGACTCTTTGAGTATTACATTATTTAAATTATTACTAAAATTTATTATATTTGAAAAAAAGTTTTAAAAAAGGTTTTTATCTTTCTCACGGCCTATTTGTAAGCTCAAAACCAATTAAAACACTTGGCCCAAAGCCAAATCACTCCAACCCCAATCCAAAATGCATCACAAGCCCGGTCTGATTAAAAAAAGGTGTGTGTTCAACTAATGAACAACCACTGTGCTGATCAAACAAAATTATGTATGGCTTGAAACCAAAAAAGCAGGTTTACCAACAGTTACTGTTCAAATCTTGAAACAAAATTAACTCTTTTTTTCTTTTTTTCTTTCCTTATTCAAAATCTGTACAAATCAATCTCAATATTGAAACAAATCACTTTATTACAATATCAGATTTTAACATTAATACAGAGACGAACATAAACAGAAACAAATTAAAACTTTATACAGATTTACATACAGGTTAACTTATTTCCTAAAACACCTATTTTTATCTAATGTTATAAAACCTAAACAAAGATTGACAGAAAAGACGGGGGATCGTGATAGAGAGAAAGATACAGAGGAGAAATTATTTACAGAAAGAGAGAAAAAACAATTATAAAGAGTGAAAAACAAATCGTTACAGAAGGTTTACACAGAGAAACAAAACTACCCACAAAGAGGAGAAGGCATTCTCTATCGCCGCTGTAAATTCATCACCTCAACTTAGGGTTTCGATATCTGAATCCTTAAGTTCACCGTCACCTTCTTCTTCGTCATCGTTCACCGTGCACTTTTATCATCTCCATGCCATCGTAGTACCTGCAAACATGGGAAGGGAAAAGAATCAGAAATGAACTAACAGCGACTCAGGGACCAACCAAGGAGGTAGCGTTTAAACTTAGCTTGCGATATGTATTATGTTTATTTGGGGTTGAGGGTTTTGGGGTTTTGGGCATAACAATGACGTAGCACCGTCGCGAGCTGGAGACGACGGAATTAGGTTTTTCGCTGTTGTTATTTGAATCAGAGAGAGAAGAGAGAAGAGACGGAGACAAAGAGGGTAGCTGTTGGCTCCTAAATTCGACACCTTTGTTTTGATTGATGGCAGCCATTAAAAGCTGAAAGATGCTTTCGACTGGCTAAGCCTGTCGAAGTGCCCGTCGAAAGATGGGCAAAATACTTAGAAGATTTCTTCCAAGGAAGAAGGCTGATTGCCTTCGACGTCGAAGGAGTTTTCGTCGAAGATGTCTCTTGACGAACGTGTTCGATGGTCTAGAGTGGAGCAGTTTGAAATTCAAAGCTTTGGAGGGAAAACGGTTTCCAGCAGTTACTACGTGCAAACGTGCAAGGATCTGGAGCGTCGAGCATGGAGAACGTGCCAAGTGGCTTAATCTCGAAGCAGTGTAACTGCCCGACGGTTACTTGGAATGTTTTAGTATAAATAGGAGTAGACATGTAGTTTCTCGCGTGTGTTCACAAATAAATACATAGTCACTCATTTAGATTCAAGTACCCAGTGTGAGCGAAAGAATTGTTGAGAAATGTATGTGTGAAACACCAATTTTATCAATTAAAGTCATTTACTTTTCCAGTATTTTACATGCTTTTCCCCTTTAAATTCCTGTCGAACCTTTACATTAAAGCCTTGTTCATTTTACCAAGCCTTTCATTTATGCAATTTACTTTAAACATTTTACTTAAAGCCTTATCCACCTTAATCAAACTTCAAAATCAACCTATGTCCATAGGATCAATCTGATCGATCCTGCGAGTAACCAAATAAGTAACCATTTGGAGGATCAGCGGTTGTTTACCAAAACCCAAGGTAAACAAATTGGCACACCTGATGGGACTGTGTGTTGATTGTTGAAAATTATCTCATCTTTTCGAAGTTGTATGTTATTGAGGAGTGGTAGAATCTACACCAACGATAACAATACTGCCAGAGGAAGGGAAGAGATGGCGAATCCGCCAAACAATAATGAAATTCCACCACCAAGTGTGGGAGCAACGGTTAATATGACCGTGGGTGAAGCGACGAATGTTGGTTCGACACCAGCAGTGTCAGTCACAACCACGGGGCCAATAACTTCGTTAACAGGCCCCAGAATACCTTTGGGAACCCCCCCACCAAGGGGAAATATTGGCACAAGGCCTGTGGTTCCCCCAGGATTTATTCCATTCTATGGTATGCCCACTTCGGAAGTGGCAAGCCTGACGAATGCTGCGTCCACTTATTCAGACCCTTTCGTGAGTGCTTCTTCGCCACTCCAAGGCTCTGGAGTAGGCATGGCGAATAGAAATAGGACCCAACTCTTAGGAGGAACGTCCCAAGTAGCCCATGGCCTTACAAATGCCTCGACAGCAGTCTTGAGGCAACAGATGGACGAAAGCAAC